TCATTGGCTGGGCCCAGAACCAAGGCTTGCAGCTCAAGCCAACCCCACACTCACAGAACCTCAGAGCCCACTCATGGGCCCTAACAATAACCAGGCCCATCTGGCATCACTTGAACCTGTGCCCTTAGCCTTCACCCCTGCACACACACAGTCTCATCCTCCTCTGCCCATCCCGAGCCCCACTCGGGATCCCCCACCACTGCAGGCCCTCCCAGCTCACCCTCGCCGGTGTCCCGGCTTCTGGGCAGCCCAGGCCGTTCTCTGACGTCTTGCTTCCCTGTAGAGCCAAAGGCATGTCTAGGGCAGAGGGTGACGCCCCCTTCCCTCCGTAGAGACCCCATCCTCTGCCTGGCTTCCCTTCTCCCCTCTCCTCCCCTCCCCTGCCAGGCACTCACCTGGGCACACTGGGCAGCACTGGTCCGGCACCTGCATTGGGTGTGGGCAGCTGGGCGGCGCGCACACCACGGGGTCACAGATCACGGTGCGTCTCTGCGGGGTGAGGCCGGGGCGCAGACTCGGGTGCCCAGGTCCCACGCGCCCCTCCCCCACGCCCGCGCCCCTCCCCCCCGCGCGCCACCTCCCCTGCCCCAGCCTCCTACCTGGCAGGTGCAGAGCGAGCAGAAGGGGTCGTAGTTGGGCGCCCAGCGAGCCCCATGGGAGCGCTGCTGCCCCTCAAAGAAGCACGAGTTGGAGTCTCGAGGCGGCCCGGGTCCGCCGGGTTTGGCGGGCGCTGAGGCCTCGGGGCCAGGCACGGCAGGCAGCGCAGGCAGGGCCGCCGCTTCCGGGGCTCCGGGCGCCGGCGCCCCGTCGGCTCCTGACGCGGCCAAGCGCAGGCCGCCCACCTCGCATTGGTTGGCGACGTGCACCTGGAAGGAGAGGCCGGTTGAGGCGGCGCGGCGGCTCCCCCTCGTGTCTCCACCAGCAGCGGCCAGCCGGGAAGCCTGAGACACCTCCGCCCCTTACCCGCCCCTGAGGGGCCAGGCGCCCCGGAGGATGCCATTAGCCAGAGCAATCATCCAGCTGTCAGTGACCCGGCGGTCGCGTGCCAGCCTTTTTATATACCTTGTCTGGCTTCATCTTCCCAACCTGCCAGGGAGTTTATACTACCACCCCCAGAGCTCCAAGATGGCCCAAGCCAAGGGGACACAGTGCCAGCCCAACTCTGCACTGTCCCCACCGCCCACACTGCCCCGTCTACCTGCCCTCGCAGCTCCCCTCGAGGGCTGCCCTTGGTGGTGATCAGCAGGGAGGCAGTGCCCTTCGCCAGGTGCTGCAGCAGCTCCGGCTCCAGGTCCTTCACCACACCCTGGGCCTGCGTGCAAGTGGACAGGAGAGGGGACAGAAACAAGACACTTCAGGGCTGAACCCATTGTCCTCAATTCGCAGATGAAGAAACTGAGACCCAGGGAGGTTAAATAAGGTCTCTAGGGTAGTGACACCCAGGGGCAATGGTGTGGAGCTCAGTAGCTGGGTCTCTCTGATTCCAGTCCACCACAACCCACCCACCTCTGAGGGCTGGTCCATCCCCCCAGCCCCTGTGGAGGGCCAGGATATTACATACTGTCCAAGGAAGGACCCGGGGAGGAGAACGCATAGCAAAAGCTGTTTTACTACAAGTGCTTTGTTCAGATTACCTCAAAGAGTCTATGTCACTTGCAAAAGATCACACAGCTAGTAAGCGGCTAAGGCAGATTCGTACCTGGGTCTGTCTGACTCCTGCGCCCTTGCTGGCTCTGCCACACCAGGCTGCCTGTTCTCTGCCTCCCCCTGCCACAGGGCCACACAGCCCTTCGTGCTCAAGAGCTGATATTTCCCAAGCTGCCTCCCTCGTCATGTCCTCACCTCTGAGCCGTAGAATCCCTTCAGCAGCCGCCGGGGTCCTGGCATCCCAGGAAGCCCAAGGAGGTGGGCGGTGACAGTGCCCTGTTCTGAGCCACCCAGCCCAGCCAGCAGCACTTCATAGTGCAGGTGACAGTGGGTGTCCAGGGAGAGCCAAGCATGACCTGCCGCCCGACTCCGCATAGGGGGCAGCACCAGGGCTCCTGCCAGGGGCACGGGCAGCGCTGGGTCCAGAGCAGAGGTGACAGATGAGAAGGTGGCCTACAGCAGCCCCTCAAGCCCGGCATTCCCCGTCTCCCCCGACCCAGACTCCATGAGCTGGAAAACACTGTCCACAGGCCCAGTGAGCAGCAGCTTTAGACTCCTGCGCCACAGCCACAGGCTAGGTCTGCCCACAGGCCACACCGCACATCCCCACCTTCCCAGATGGCAGACCTGGAGGCTCAGCACACAGAAGGACACACCAGGCTCGCGCACGCTGGCACCATCCCTCACATGCTGGAGTCACAGGTTAGAAGACACTAAAGGGCAGGCAGACTTCGGGGGACACTCACCGTCATGGCGGGCACTGTGACCACTGTAAGGAAGGGCAGCCACATGCCCCCGCAGCTCTCCGTCTGGGAAGTCCTTGGTGCCCACGTTCAGGAACAGCTCGTTCTGCAGCAGCATATGAGCCCCTCGGGCACCCAACCCAGGGCAGACACCCACGGCCTGGCAGGTGGGGAAGGGTGAGCCACAACCTGCCAGATCCCAGACCAATCCCTCCTCAGCTTTCACACAAACTCAAGATTCTGAAGCCTTCCCATGCACACTTCCACACAACATCAGTAACACTGGATAAGAGCCCCACAGCCCAAGTTCGCGTCCCTTGTCTGCCACTTCCTAGCTATGCAACCTTGACGAGGTTAGCCTCTCTGATCCTTCACTCCCTCATCCATAAAATGGGTACTGTGAGGGCCAAAAACGATACAAGTAAAGCAAGCAGGGCAGTCTCTGGCACGTAGAAAAGCTCAGTCGTTAGCTGTTGTAATCACATTCGTTATTGTCCGGTCTATTGCACTGGTCTCCCTGATTAACTCCTTTCCTTGGGCTGTGAACCGGCTGAGGACAGGAGCCACATCTGACTTTCTCTGTACTCCAGTCCCTAGGCTGGGGCCCGCTGAAAATGGCCTCAATGAATCAGTGAAAGAGCCTGTGAATAAGTGGCCGATGCTGCACATCCCTGCTCACCCTGCCTGGCTCCCCCCAGCCCAAGCACCGGCAGCCCTGGTGCACAGGCCCTGTGCTGTCGCCCAGTTCTGCCTGGAGTCCTCACCGTGTGCCCGCCAGGCTGCAGTCCGGCCATCTGGCACAGGACAGTGCGCTGGTTCCTCCGCTGAGGCTTGGTCTCCAGCGTCATGGCCACCACCTCACTGCCTATGCCTATCACCTGGACCTG